TAATTAAATGGCAGAAATGAATCTTTTTTATGCTTGAAAATTACATTAATTTTTGTGTGATTTTCTTCATAAGGATGTAAACAGTTTTCCAAAGAGGAGATGTCTTTAAAAATAGGAAGCCCCGCATGCACCCGCGGGGAGGGAAGGATGCTGTTGTTTACAAGAATTAACTTTTTTCACATTAACTAAAGTCATCCCAATAATTGCTTAGCAAAGCTTACTTTGAAAACCATTCCAGAGACTTGAAGTCTGTTTCCAGAGGCTCATGCAAAAACTAGTTTCCTGATTTACTGCCGGGAGGCGATCGTGTTTAAAAGCACACTGTTGGCATTAATGCTCGGTGCGGAGGAGGGGCCGTGGGCGGGCAAACTCTAGACGGTGAGAATTCAAGTCTAATGTGGTCACTTCGGGAAAACAAAAATCATCTCCCGCTCACTCTCACGAGCCCCCAGGACGCCACCGAACACTCACGCACACGGTCGTGGTCAAAACGCCCAGCGTAGCTTGCTTACAGAGCCATGGAAATCAAACTCGGTATTTTTTGCCTCGGAAATAGGAAAAAGACATTATTCATTATCTTTATCATAAACTTTCAAAGACTAAAAATTAAACCCTGCAGTGAGGGAGAAAGTAAATAGGGCTCAAGGGCATAAAGTCCTCAACACAGACTCTAAATGGCTGGGTGACCCGTCACATATTTTCCCAAAGATTCAGGAAAACGACTTCCTAAGCTGAGTTACTAAAAAGAGCCGAAATGACAGAGATGGCGCTTGGGGCTCTGTGGGAGGGACCTGGGAACCGAAAGGTCTGCTGAGATGCTACGGCTTTGCGTGGGCCCAGGGCAGCGCTGGTGGGCGGAGCCAGCGGAGTGGGAGGGACAGGTGGGGACCTGGACAAGCGCAAGGCAGGCCCGGAGGAGGAGGAGGGGGGGGGGGAGGAGGCTGCTGGGAGAAGCTCCTGCATCGCACACGCTGGGATATTTGTCTGTGTTTTCAAAGTTGGTCCTAAGCCACTGCTTCTGGGGGGAAGTCGATCATTCTAGAACAACACTGTCCAATATGACAACCATAACCTCACATGGGGAAACTTAAATTTCACTACTTAAAATGAAATAAAATAAGCAACCCAGTTCCTCGGTGACACCAGCCACAGTTCACGTGTTCGATAACCACAGTGGCTCGTAGCACCCGTGTTGAACAGCACAGGTAGAGACCATGTGCGTCAGCACAGAAAGTCCTTCCAGGTGCGCTGTCTTCGGGCATTATCAAGACGGGAGGCAGACGGTGACCCCAAGAGCCCCCCGCCCGACACTGTCACTTACTTACAGTGATGGTGGACACACCGACTAACCTCTGTGTCGCATCTGTAAGCAGGGGTAGTTATATATATATACTCCCCACTTAAGACGTATGCTGTAAGAATTCCTTATGTCATACGAAGATCACATAGAACCTGGCTCACTATAATACATGTTGGCCAATGTCAGCTATTTTCATTGCATGGTATATATCACAGACTCACAATTAAAGACATTTTGAGAGGGAGTCCATATTTTTTAGGTTAAGACACACCCTGTAGATGAACACACGCAAAGTATCCAGGGTGAGAGGTGAAAATAAGTACTCGTTTAAAAAGTGGCCAAAGATGAGAAGGGTACTGCTCTCAACAAGCATCAAGGGTCTTATTGAACCTGGAGCTGCTGCGTAGACTCCTTACGCTCTCACAATTGAAAGGAAGTAAAAAGCGGTCGGGAAGCGCTGACCACACACCACAGGTGAGCAGAGCACATGCTGCCCCTGGAAAGCTCTTCCAGCACCTTCCAACAAGCCCAACTGCATGTCCCAATGTAGAGGCCTAACCGTGGGAGAGTAAGCCATACCTCGTGAAAAGGCAGCACTGAATGCCTTCCAAAGAAAATAATAATTAGGAGTAATAAAACCACAGATGGAAATTTTAACTATACCTGCTTACCCAAAGTATTTCCAAGCTTGAGTTTTAAGGTATAGATATATATTTGTAATTTGAAGAACCTCATGACCCGGAATTTATCTTGGATAGACATGATAGTAGAAAAATGGACAGAAGTTTTCAATCATGCTTAGTACAGCAGAAAAAGTTACATAATAATGTTAGAATAAAGATGATTAAAAACTATGGTGAAAATGCTCTTTTAAAAACTCTTAATATAAAGAAAACTGTAGTTGTGGATATCAATAATTTGATCCAGCTTCCCTACTTTTTCATAACTAATTATAAAATATTTGCTATTTATTGTGCTTTCAAAATTTCAAACACCACTGGTAACCAAAATGGTACACCTCAGTTAAAAAAGTAAAGACTCTTGTACTCATCTGCTTCATTACAAATTAACAGGTAACCCCCCCGCCACAATGATATATTTAGTATTCCAAGCAACAAGCAAATAGACTATTTATAAATGTAGTTATCTAACAATTTAACAAAAACTTAGTCTCAGTGAAAAGAATAAATTTTGCCTTGATTTGCAAAGCTTGGAAGTGACAATTGACCAGCTGAACATACTTGTTGATTTAAGTGATTTATCTGATTTTAATATACTTAGAACTTACCCTTCTTTCCTTTGAAAGATATATGTTCTTGCTAAAACTTTAATAAAGGCAGCCTGGAAGGAAGAAACTGCAAATTCATGAGTGGACAGTTTAGAAATTTCCAGCTCCAAAGTAATTGTTTATAAAAAACTCACATCCTTTGCCTTAATTAACTAGAAAATAAAAATGTATTTTTACTTCCATAGGTATAGTTGACTCCTTTGTCTTTCTTATGTTTTACATTTTAGACCCTGAGCGAGGCTCACTTGCTAATTTTATTTACTAAGAGCTAAAACCAAGCTAAAAGACTTGGCAAAACATTATTTGCAACACACAATCACACATTCATTAACTTTTATATTACTAGATTTAACTGTCACCTTTTTTTCCAAAATCTATCCAAGGCTGACAGATTCATCCACTCCTTGAGCAAAGATTCACTAAGTGTCTGTTACAAGGAGCTGGGCGGTCGGTCTGTTTAGACAGTGAGGGTGAAAGCTGAGGGGTTGCCTGCCTGCAGGGTGGACACCTCAGGACAGGCAGCAACACGCTCTACATTTGTAAATTTGTGCTTCTGAGCGGGTCCTGAGAATCTAATATTTCAGTGGCATCGTTACCTTTACTTTTACTCTTTCTCACTCAATATTTTGTCCTGGTCTTTTTTTTATGAGGAAAATGATCATAAATATTAATAACTAAAATAAGTACACACAGGCAGCGTTATTCAGATTGTTTCCTTTTGATTGCTCCAATAAAGCTGGACAGCTACTGCAATACTCAGGGAAAATTACTACCTAATGAAAAATACTTCTTATGGATATCTGTGGGAAATTATGAAATACAGAAACTGTTATCAGATAATCTCAGAGGACGGATTTAAAAAAAAAATACTGCTAGCTGATAGAACCTTCATCTTCATTCTCTAGATAAAGGATGAAGGTTAGGGAGCAATTTCTTAGAAATGATTCACTCATCTTTTCGAATCTGTGATTCATTCATATTTTCACAGAGATCTGACAAAAGAACTCTGAGGGGTAGAAACATCACTGTTTTCCTCCCGGGCACAATAGCATTCTTAACTAGTTTGTTGACAGATCCTAGATATGCAGGCCTGCTGTTATAAAGGACCTTTTTACATCCAACAGAGCAAAACCTATGTCTGAAAACTCTCGTTACTACAGTCCACAGGGATTTAAAAAACATCGGCCAGGGTGCTTCAGCAACTAGACACCGCAGAGTTCAAAATTCAGCCAGTTCCTTCCAGGCGGACGGCACAAGAAGCTGAAAGCCAATATATTAAACACAACACCCAGAGAGGCCATCCACCAGGAATCACTTGTGGAATGCATAATTCTTTGTTTCCTGCTGTTTGCAGATCATTGATCAAAAATCTATGAATGACAAGACTCAAATTCAGAGAACAGCAGACTGTAGGGGAAAGGACTTCTCTTTGAAAAGTCACTTTAAAAGACACATCTTTTGTTCCTTTTCTAACAGGAAGACCTTGGTGCATTCTTTAGAACAAAACGATACATCAGTTGTCCACAACCAGTAACGTCTTCAAAAGGTCAGAAAATAAAGCAAATGCATGTGCGGCTCTGAACATGCTCACAACAAAGAAGTCCCCGCGAACGCCCAGAACTCTGAATCCACCCCGTTGGATCACGGCTGCTTCACAAGCAGTGGTGAAGATGAATGCATTTAAGATGCTCCTGGGAGTAGCATATATACTCAAAGTGGGAAAATTAATAATCATACTGGCACTGTCAAAGGAATGTTCAAAACTCTGCCTTTTGGAAAAGAACTGCGACCTTGGAGCCTGGTTACTTAAGACACTGCTGGGCTCTGTTTTTCTTGACTAGTAATTGTAACCTTAATTTTAAGAAAAAGAAGGCCCAGTAAATAGTACTGTTACCATTTTCTGTTATCAATGCTTTATTTTTAAATCTTTAGTAGAACGCTGGTTCTTTTTAATTAAAGCGAATAAACCTTAATGATTCTATTCTTTTTTTTAAAATTTATTTTATGGAAGTACAGTTGATTTACAATGTTGTGTTAATTTCTGCTGTCCAGCAAAGTGATCCCATTATTCATATACTTTTTCATTACAGTTTATCACAGGTCAGTGAATAATTCCCTGTGCTATACAGTAGGACCTTGTTGTTTAATGATTCTAGTCTTTCAATAAAATACAATAAACACTAAATTATACACAACAGTGACATTTATTGAATTACGGTTATTAGAATCTATTTCTTTTATCTCAGTAAGACACATGAATCGAATGTATTGAAAAGGGAATTGTGCAGTATTTGGCTAAAGGGACATGACGAACCAAGAAATCTTCACTAGTCATTAACTGAAAGAATTTAGCTGAAAAGAACGCATTTTAAAGACATAGATCTACAACTTTCCCACACACCCGACAGTTACCTTGGACAACTCCATGCCTGGCCCACACTGCTTGCAGAGAACACAATTTCCTGACTGATTCCTGAATTCCTGTTGTCCACAGTCTCCTGTTTCACAGATCACTCTACATGCCTGAAAAAAATGTTTCACGTTATCTTAAGGGAAGTTAATTCTATTTTTCACAAAAAAAGGAATAGTATCTTCAGTGTTATTCACATAATCACTGAATGTAAACATTAATTCAGAGTGAGGCCAACTCAGTTTTCACTTTAGGAAGAATAACCACTTTCTGGAAAAGTCAGTGGAACAATTAAATCAACAAGCCTGATTCCTCTCTGTATTCCTTGAATGAGAGTTCTCTTTTTCTGGATTTAACTGCTATCTTCTTCTGACACTTTTCTGAGTACCCAAGGTAAAAACAGGTAGAAACTGCTCTCTTTTCCAAGTAAGAAGATGTATAAAAGAACAGTTATGCAGAGACCGAGGTCCTTCTGCAACCTGAAAAAATCTGAATTCAAGAATTATATTTTTGCTCTTTAAGAAAACATATTCACCCATAATGAGTTGAATAAATAAGTAAATGGAATACATATACTAGTCCCAAGAACTTTGCTATTATCCTTTAGACATATCTGATACCCAGCTTTGATGCAGAAGTTTTTCAGCTGAATTCCATTTACTTAGAGTTCATCATTCAAAAAATTCTGACAACTGTGAGATCAGTAAAATTCCTGATAATGATGAAAATAACAATGGCCCAATTCTCTGAATGCTTCAGAGTAAAAGTGTCATGTAAACATGAACTTACTTTCCTACTGATTGCCATTTTGCCACTTAAATTGGACCTAACAATATACTTTTTTTAAAAAATTAAAGTATAGTTGATTCACAATGTTATGTTAATTTCTGCTGCACAGCAAATTGATTCAGTTATACATATATATACATTCTTTTTCATATTCTTTTCCATTATGGTTTATCTCCAGATATTGAATATAGTTCCCTGTGCTATATAGTAGGACCTTGTTGTTTATCCATCCTATATGTAATAGTTTGCATCTGCTGACCCCAAACTCCCAATCCATCCCTCCCCCATTCCCTCCCCCTTGGCAACCACAAGTCTGTTCTCTATGTCCTTGTAACAATAAACTTTGGTTCACAGCATAGGACTTAAATGGAAAGATTATCTGCTTTGCAAAAACAAAGGTTGTAAGTCATTTTCAAGATATAGTCTTTATTTCTTATTTTACCTAAAAACGTAAGTTCATCTTATACACACCATCCTACAAAAGTGTGTATATCTGCTTCTTAACAGACGGTATTTCATTAAAAATGTTGATATTAGGGGCTTCCCTGGTGGCGCAGTGGTTGGGAGTCCGCCTGCCGATGCGGGGGACGCGGGTTCATGCCCCGGTCCGGGAAGATCCCCCATGCCGCAGAGCGGCTGGGCCCGTGAGCCATGGCCGCTGGGCCTGCGCGTCCGGAGCCTGTGCTCCACAGCGGGAGAGACCACAGCAGTGAGAGGCCCACGTACCACAAAAAAAAAAAAAAAATGTTGATATTAACAGAATCTCAGACTGGTGACAACATTCAGTTCAAACTCTTACATCAAGCAGGGACTCCCTCAGTAACATTCCTGACTATTGACACAATTTTGTTTCCCTAAAGGAAAACTGAGAACCTTAGGAAGGACTGGGGGAACAGAGGCTGGTGTGTGTCATGTCCACGGCACAAGTGCAAAGAAATGGTTTTTGATGGTTATAACAATGGGAGGTTATTCAGTACAAACTGCCTCCACCTTGGAGCAAATATCTATAATGAAGTCAGCCAACCTCCTTAAATAAAATCACAGCCTTAACCTCTAGAGCAGGCAGGAGGGAGAATCCAAGGTGGGGTTCAAGACCAAACCATGATTTGGGGCTAAAGGTCTAGTAATCACCTCCCACCTTTCTTAACCCTCATTAACAACCAATCTTAGAGGAGTTTGGTTTTATTTAAAGGAGAGAGGACATTCCCCTCCACCACAAAGACACTGCATCGCTTTGAGAAAGAAATGCCACAGCTTCTCTTGTGGACCATTTCTTCCAATGTTTAACAACCTCAACTCAAGGAAGGGATGTTTTCCTTACATCTATCTGCATGTCAGACTCCAATCGGACCCCATTTCCTCTTACTTTTTCTTCCAAGAAGACTTCACGAACTGTCTTCAGTGTAAATAATTCTTTTTATATTTGTAGATCATGACTGCATCTCCAGATTAAATGTTTCAGTAATTCTTTTGAGCACCTTTATAGATGTTTTGTGTTAAAGCTTTCAAACATTACAATTCTCCATCTGTCTTTGATTCTTTTTGAAACCAAGAAGGATATAAATAACTATATAAAACAATAGCATTTAAGAAATGATTCCTAATTTTTCACAAACTGTGAAGTCATGGGCTCCAAACTAGAATCTAAGGTCTTGTTAGGCTGTGCTCTGAGAGGCATCTGCCTATAAACTCAGTGGAGCATCATTATCATGCAGCAACGAGTGATGCTGTGATTTTATGATTTCATCTAGATTTAAATAAATAATTGCGACCATAGTTACACAAGTCAAGACCCAACAGCAACCTTTGACTTATTAATTAAATGCAACAATGATAAAATGAATTTGAAAGAAAATTTTAAGATATGGGGTTAGAAATAGAAAATAGATTGGGTATTAGTTCTATGAATTCTTTCCCCACGTTATTATGAAAGTAAGAGCTGACTTACCAAACAGGCTAGTAAAACTACAACCGAGAAAAATGCTTTCTGTTGTTCTAGTAGCACTTTGAAAGCCATCGCTCTCGTTAAATGTGTTTCTGGTTGAAGAGCTCTAAAAGATAAGAAGATACAGTTAACATTAATAACATGAGTGACTGCATTCTGTATTTACTATACAATGTTACCATTTACTATATACACTAGTAAAACATAATATTATTTAGTATGTTAGTAAAACATAACACTATTTATGTTTTAAAAGGAATCACCTTTTAAAAGGGTACCACAGACAAGTACGATGTAATTCTTTACAAATTTAGGTTATGAGAATTGAAGCTTTGTCTACCTACACAGTATATACAAAACTCCTGCTGGCTCTGAGTTCCCAGGCTACACATGCCTTTATTTTTTTTCTATCCAAGTCTCTACAGTGTCCAGTCGACTTCACCCAGCAGAGAATTACATTCAAACTGTGACTTATAGAAAACTTCCATTTATACGGGTTTAGTCGTACAGGATGATAACAATGATAAAATAACAATTAACACATGCTAAGCACGCCATGCCAGGTACTATTTTTAGCAGAACTCATTTCATCTTCACAACTACTCTAGAAGGTGGATACTGTCATTATCTCCGTTTTAGAGATGGGGAGACTGAGGCTCGGAGTGGCCTGAGTCACTTGCCCAAGGTCACATCGCCAGTGAGAGGCAGAGCTGGATGCAAACCCAGGTGGGTGGCTCCAACGTCCCCGTGTCACATACACCTGAAAACAACCTGCTCCGTTTAATAAAAACTGTGTGCTTGGGTATTGGGCCTTCAGCTCCACTAAGAAGCAGAAATAGCTAACATCTGGCATTTGTGAGCTCTTCCCCAAACCAGTGCACTGCAAATCATCTACTAGCAGAAAAATGAGCACTTATTTAAAACCATCTAAAAATCATTTACAAGTGATGAATTGGAGGCACTACCCTGACATTTCAAGAAAAGATAAACAAAGCCTCTTTATCTTTACCAGGAATGATCGAAAATGTAGAAACGAATCTGTTTTGTTTTGTTTTACAGATTCACTCCATGTCAAGAGAAGAGATTTATTTGAAAATTTTTAAAAAGTGAAGACTCACCTGGTTGCTCCATTGATCAGACAGAGAAAAAAATGGTTCCGTTTCTCTTTAACAGAAACCCAGAGCAGATAACCTGACTAATTGGAAAGAAACCAGAGCAGAGAACCAGAACCAAAGAGCTCAAGAAAAACAGCAACAATAACAACAAAGGGAAGCGGGCTGAGCAGGCTGCTGTCCTAACCGTGGACCAAGCAGCCAGCCAGGGGCGCACCCCACCCCCGCCTGGAGACCAACCCAGGTGGTCATCCCAGCTGCCCCAGCAGGTCCAACCACCAGGGCAATGAAAAATCATTTTTAAGCTTGGCTGAATGAAAGACCCATTTTGAGTGAATTCAAACGACTTTTTTTTTTTTTTTTTGCTTTTCCAGCTTCTTGGTCATAGCTTTTTTCCCCTTGTATATCTCAAAATCATCCAGCAATTACCCAACCATGCAACCTGCTGCTGTCTAGACACAGGATTGGGGTCAGAAGATAAAATCACATTCTCTGAAAGGTATGCTTTAGGCTATCTCTTTCCCAGCAGGGTCTTCAATTTTTTTTAATGTGTTAATTTTTTAAAAGTAAAAAACAAAATCTACATGGAAGTAAACTAATATGGAAAAGAGGGTATAAATACCAAAACATTTACATAAAACATGAGAAATAAAGAGATCGATAGAGTCTGTCCATAATCGGTCGATATTTGAGCATCCAGTTTACACAGAAAACTCTCCTGGGATACGGTGCAGATTACTGTGTAAGGCACACAAACACTGCAGCATCTTCTAGTAAAGGCACATCAAGCTAGAAGTCATGGCGCTATGATTCTGACTTTGTAAGATACACCCATTTTGTGTACAAAAATAAATATGCCAACATATTATCAATGGTTTAGGTTTATACTGTGACGATCCAGGTGAATTTTTCACCCTCTTTACCGTAAAAACATCTTTGTAGTGTAAATATTTCATTAATAATGGAAAAAATATATGTATAGTGCTCTTGGGGCAAAAAAGGTAAGTAACATGATCCTTTTTGAAAGTTTACAAACTAAAAAAGATGATGAGATAAAAACCACATATACACTACCAAAAAAAAGGAGAAAATTTGAACAAAGTGTACTATGATTTTTGCATCACAAAAATTTTGGGCCTTTTTAGATGATAGGGTAGAAAAAAATTAATGGAAATAGATCCAATGTGCTGATTTGTCTTATCTTCCCAACACACATGCTAAATTGAGTAGTTTGAATGGCAAATACAAAAGGAGCATTGCTACACCTAAATTTCCAGGGGTACAGGTGGGTTTGTCCCTGCATTTATCTTCTGAACTCCTCGGCCCGGCACCTATGCCCTGTACAATCTCACCCGCCGGCCTGCCGGTCCCATCACGGGTCACTGCTCTCTCTGCCCGCCCAGCTCAGCTGTACCCCGATACCCACAGCTCTTCTGGACACCCGTGATCCTGCCCTCTCGGTGTGGACAGCCTTTCGCTTTTTGGGTCCCTCTGGGAACCAGCTCAACTATCACTCTGCTGAATGTGGTCCCCAGCCAAGCAGAGTGAAGAGAGGTGCTCCCTGGGGTTCCACAGCCCTTTCCACATCCATGGACAAGACCCATCACACTGCAGGTCCGTTTCACTCCCAGATTGAATGTGCCTTTAAAGCATCCAATTTTAGGATCACACCTAGAATTCTCTGTATTCCCAGTGTCGAGCACAAAGGTGCTCAGTGAACGTTTCCGGAATTAACTAAGTGAATGTCGAAGCACAAAACAATGAAAAATACATTGTGGAAAACACCTGACATTTGTTTGCACGTAACAGATCTAATTCTTCTGTGGTGAACAGGATAAAATAAACATTCTGTTTCAGATTTATATAAAATCTTATTGCCTTCTCAAGGTATTCAGTGCCTTAGATTAGGACACAGGATTAAATGATATAGTGATGTATTTTTAAAAATCCTAATTGGCTTAAAAAACGCAAGCAGCTCTTCACAGAAGATTTCTTACACTGGGAGCTGGGGATTGAACTGTGCCACTGAAATACGCCACTTCTGTTTTCTGTGGCTTCTTGTTTAACCTGGCTTTTTATACCAAGAGGCTGGGGTGTAATTTAGACTTGGGTGGGTGATCCTGAGAGCTGTCAGGGTGATATAAAGGCCAAGTTCAAATAGTATTCTGCAGGTAAACCCACCATAACTGAAAACAGCCTGGGCGTTATTGAGAATGGTCACAGGAAAATGGCAACCGGAACACCTGGGTTTTCAGTCCCATTTCTTAGCAAAGTCACTCTGAGACCACACATCTACAGAGACAAAAACTGACCCCTTTTCATGCGGTGAGCTGAGGGTCTGCTGAAATAATGCAGGTAAGATGCGTAGCCCAGGGCCTGGGACAGAGTAAAAGCTCGTGGTTGTTGATGTTGCTGTAGTTCCTGCTGTTCTTGGGAGCATCACTTACTAGCTGTGAACCTGACCCAAGTCTGTTTCCTTCTCTCTGAATTGGGCATCGTGACAGTACCGCCTCCTGGACGGCTGTGAGGAATAAGTGAGCTTAACAGCTGGAAGATGTGACTGTTCCTGGCCCAGAAATAAGTGCTCAATACTCATTAGCAATGGTGGCCGCCACTGTTAGTGATATTATCCTTGAGGAGCGAATGGTCCAGGGTGTGTGACAGTCCCTGAAGGCTGCAACCTTCTGGACAGATGTGGGACATGATGCAGACAGTCGCAATCGAGGGGCAGGTAGCGTTTCAGACCTCTGGACTGAGGCTGCAGAAAGCGTTCGAAGACTGAGAACAGGGTCAGTGTGAACTTAGCATTCATGGTATCAAGTACTGTGTCAGTGCTTTAGACTAAGTACAGCTTCTTTCCTTACTACCTACCCTCTAAAGTAGATCTTTATCCCCACACAGTGGGAAGAACGCTGAGGGCCGAAGGACACATGTACCAGAAACAGTGGAAACCAAAGCAAATTCACGCTTGGTGACCCCGAGGCAGGGCCCTGGTGCTCTGCCAGCTTGACCAAGGGCTGTACCCACCACGCTGAGCATCCAAGTCCCTTCCACTTAGCACAGTAGGACTACATCCAACTGGTCAACACGAACAAAGCTATGTAACCACATAACACGTTGAACGAACACCAACTGTGATTAAGCAGTTATTAGGTGCCTGAAAGGAGGTGGTGCCATCTGGGGGAGGACGCCGCAAAGGTATGCTTTGCAGGGAATCCCAGCTAAGCAGGGCTGCGGAGACTTTTTATACCACCTGGCCACAGACTATTTAGAAATAAACAATTTAGCCCTTGCAGTGTTATAAGCATGACCTTGAATTTCCTGGAAACAAATGAAATACCTTATGAAATGCTTTGGCATTCATAAAAAGAAGGAAAAGTTAATGAAATCACAAGCATTTAAGTAGTAATATTTAAAATAAAAACAAGGCCATAAAAAGGTATTTACTGAAATTGCTTTTAACTTCTGGGTCTGGCCAAGGTAAAGAAATGCTTTTATAGATGGAATTCCGTGTTCTGTTTATTTGGGGGAGGGCTTGTCGAGCACAAGATACACACATTATGAGATTATGTACAATGGACCCACAGGGGTTTTCACAGTTTGCTTAAATATCAGGAGAAGACCAAGGATGCTGGTTTACAGGAATCTAGGTGTGTGGCATTCCT